GTGTTATAGTATGATTTCATTTACATATATAGTATTTTTTCATCTTACATTTTTATAATGTCTTAGTATATTTTATTAGTATTTTTATTTTTATTTTTCATTGAGAATGGGATATCTATACGCAACTGATATAATTAAATAAATTTAGATGCTGACTTAGCAATATTAGAAATCATTCGATATACTATATGATAAAATTTTTATAATTATAAAAAATTTTATAATATAAAACTTGTTTCTCTAAGTTTTATGCTTTTAAATTAAGAATTAATGATAAATTTAATGTTTCAATGCTTTTAAACTCGAATCATAGTCATGAAATATTGCGTGACAATGCATTTTATTCGTGAGTTTTATCGTACTCATTATTTATTTTATTAAATTTTATTAGTGTTAGTATTTAGGACGTTAATACATTATTGAATAGACTTATTTATATAAGATATTAATAAACTATTTAGCCACATCTGAATCGATTCTTACAGTCGTTGGCTTTATAGTCAGCGGCTAAGTCTACTTTGTAAAAAATACAATCATTGTTAACTCTGCAATTTTTATGATGGAAATGATGTGTTAGCAACAAAGCTAAATAAAAGTTAATGTTTAAAGTTACTTTGTAATGGCTTGCTTTATACACTTTCACTAAATTACTGAATTAAGGCTTGGTGTACCAAAGTGCATTTTTTTTGGATAAATAAGAGAAAATTTTCTTATAATATTTAATTTCATCTGTACGACATATAAGTCCACTCATTATTAATTACCGCATCAGGAAAAACTTAATATACTAGTATGGAATGATTATGTCGCACGAAAATTTTTCATAATTAATAGGTGGTGGTTTATATGGTTTATATGGTGGTGCAAATGTTTCAATAGGAGATTCATATGTTTGATGGTTGAATACTATTAACAAATTCGTTGTTGAACATTTACAATCATTAAGGATTAAATTACAACGAAAACAATGATTATTTGAAGCATTGGAAGAATTTAAAGGTAAATTAGAAACATTAAAAAAAGGTGAAGAATTATTTAAAGCAGATGGTGGTAATATTTATATAAATATTATTGATGAAAAAGTAATTTTTTTACATTTAAAATTTCCTTATATAAAATTTACACAATAAATTATAATTAATTTATTGTTTTAAGAATATTAATAGTTAACCCATTTATTGGGGTAATATTCGTTAAAAAAAATCATAAGGTGTTATGTGAGGTACCGTGCCGCGAGGTTATTTCATAAAACATTAAAATAATGATGACATATGTTTAGCATCGGAAATAAATTATCCATTATCATTTTCTAAAAATAAATTACTTTGTTTACATTAGATAACGCAACTACATCTTCATATGTATGATTATGTACAATGACGTGTATGCATGCGTAGACGTATATGTTATTATCAAAGCCATGGTTTTTTTTTACAAAAAAAGCTGAGAAAAATTAGACTTATTACGATTATATTACGCTTTGTATAATTACGATTACGTTTTGTAATAGAATTAGTAGGTATCGTACTTTTGAGGTTTGGATTATAAAAATAATTGTAAAAAAATGTATAACCACGTGAAAGTAAAGTAATTAAGAAATTTTCTCGTATATTCTATACGTATATTTTATGCAAGAAGTTAAATCTAGATGTTAGGACTCGCTCAACCGACAGCGCCCAGTGGGATCATCGCACTTAAACTTGCTTCGCTTTACTCCGCCCGTCAGAAAAAGACAGCCCAAAGGCTTACCCTGCATTTATACCACCAGGCGAAAGTCGCCTTTAAAAAGGTGGACAACGAGCGCTATGTGGTCCACTTGTCGCAGGTGACAGAGGCATTTAGAAACGCCCGCGATCCCAAAACTTCAGAAGAGGGAGTGCTGCAGTTCTGCATTGTCGAGACATATTTCAAACGCGCGGAGAGACTCAAACAGTGGGGTCAATTCAGCCTGGCGCAAGCCAGTTATAAGAAGGCGAAAAAGTGGGGCAATACCGAGGCGCAAGCCCAATTGACCGTCCCGTCACGCTTTTGGCACTGCAGGGGATTTGTTTCTTCTGCCTTAACCTTTAAAAAAACGAAAAACCCGCCTGTTATCGATCCCGTCAAAAATTTTTTAATAGATAATTGGCAGACATCGGAAACATTCCGCCAAGCTTACGCTTACGTACAGCATCGCGCCGCAGAAGATGGTTTTTTTATAAGTTACGAAGGCAATCGAAGCAAGCCTTATCCGGTCATGCCTGACGTCTGCTGTTTGCATAAAGCAGCAGAAATACCTTTGCAACAACGGATCAACACGATCTTTTCTGCATTGCAAAAGATTGTCTTCACCTATCATCATGACGCGCGACTGCAAGCGTTTTTGGCTATTCCGCAAGCATTGAATTATTGGGTCATGCAAGATAGTGAACCATCGCATCGGTCCATCGACCTATGCAGATTTGATATGATGGGAGGCAACCTCGATACCTTACGCATTATTGAATTTAATGCCAACGCGCCGGGCGGCATCGTGTATTTCGGTTTGATTAATACTTATTGGCGTGAAGCGCCTGGAATAGCGAAAATTATCAGCAATTGGGGCAGTGTCCCTTCCATTTTCGAGCGGCCGGGCTGGTTTAGTGATTGGATTACAAATCTTGCGTATCGCCGCGAACTGAGGTCGATTAATGCCATCGGACTGCTTCATCCACTACATGGTAATATTAATGAGTTGCCACATCTGCAAAAACGGCTTCAACATCAAGGCTATCAATGCACAATGATGCCGCTATCTGATGCCTACCAAAATGGAAAGCCACTATGGCAAGTCGCCTATCTGAAATATGGCGTGCAACGTGCATTGAAAGATATTTCACAGTTGGAACGTTTCTGCGCCAGTGTCATAAATAATGAGATAGTGGTTCCTTCGTCTCTATCAGGCCGCTGGATCGGCGACAATAAATTGTGCCTTGCTGTCATGTCCGATCCAAGATTCGCATATTTGTTCAATTCGGTTGAACAGCAAGCAATCCGGCAGATGATTCCGTATAGCAGGAAGCTGGATGATGGAATCAGCGTTGAAAATCTACTGGCACAGAAGGATAATTGGGTGATAAAAAACCCGTATGATACGCGTGGGGCCGGTGTGTTCATCGGGCGCGATCATACTGAGGTGCAATGGAGAAGATTGGTTGCCGGTCAGCAATTGGCTGGCTTTCTGGTTCAGGAATATATTGATTCCGGAGCTTCGATTGCCGGTAATATAGCGCCGCCCAGTTTCAGAGATCTGATAGCAGTCATTGCTAGCGGTCGTATTGTCGGGTACGCATCGCGTGTCAGTTCTTCATATAAAGTGAATTTAGCGCAGGAGGGAAAACACCTCTCCGTTCTAAGCGCACTAAATGTGAATGCATAGGTGGCAGCATAGCTTACTAAATAATTACTTTTTACTATCGATTTGTAATGAATAGAAGAAGTGAAAAAAAAGCGTTAACTGCTGTTGATAGTATTAATTGCTGGTTAATTACATGGTACGATAGTTACGAAATTGAGATTGATTGGGTTGTAAATTTTTGGTTAAAAAATAAAAATCTAATGCAATTAGTGGTCTCAAAGGGTGGAAACGAGTTAAAGAAGATTTTGATGATATGTCAATAGTTTCATAATATACTGTTGAAAGCAGTAATTAATTTTGACTTGTTTTATTAATAAAATTCGGTTATAATTACGAAAATGTAGGGTAAATTTTAATAATAAAAATCCATATTTTATTTTAATAAAAAATACATAGCAAATACAAAATAAAATATGAAAAAAATATATTTTTTAAAACTAATCATAATTCATAATTTATTAAAATTAAAAAAAAATCATAAAGCGTTAGATAAGTGACCGTTAAAAAAATGTAAGGCGTTAAGTAAGTGACCGTGCGCAAATAAAAATAGTTTTATTTAGTACAAAAAAATTTATTAAAATATTGACATGAAAAATTTTAAAGTATATACTATTAAAAAAAAAATATTTTAATTTCTTTGAAGATTTAACGAATAATAATTAAAAGTTGTGATTATATAAGCTTATATGTTTTATCGAGGGGACGCCATACATCCGATAACAATCTTTCTGAGGATTGATTAAGGGACTATTATAATGGAGTTAATAAAACATGGTTATTAATATCTATCCTGTCTTATTTAATCAATTTAGATTATAGTAAACATCTTTTCACACCTTTGATGAAC